AAGCCCACCCTACATGGCCTCCAAGGAGTAAGAAGCCCACCCTGGACCATCCACCCCCAGCAAGGACTCGAGCAAGAGAGAGGCCCTGGCTGCTGAGCAGTCCCTGTCCAATAACCCCCACACCGATCATCTCCCTCACAGTTTCCATCCCAGACCCCCAGAATAAGGAGGGGCTTAGGGAGCCCTACTCTCTTGAATACCATCAATAAAGTTCACTGCACCCATCAATAAAAAAAAATGACTTTATAAAAAAGTCAAAGGAGACACAAATTAAAAAAAAACAAACAAACCCATGAACAAGCCAAATCCTAAATCAGTAGATAGAAAGAAGTCATAAAATAAGAGCAGTAATTAATGAGATGGCAACAACAAAAGAATACAAAGAATCAATCAATAAATCCTGGTTCTGTGGAAAACTAAATAAGATTGGCAAAGGAAACTTCATTAAACTTATCAAAAGAAAGAGAATACTTAAGCTCACAAAATTCATGATGATAAAAAAAGACACCAGTCAAACTCTGGAAATCATAAGGACATGCCTATTCCACTAAATAGAAAACTCTGTTAAAAAAAAAAAAGGATGCATTCTAGGTGTGTATGAATGAGTAAGTTAAACCAAGATGAGATCAATAATTTAAACAGATCCATAACAAGCCACAAGATTGAAGTTGTAATGAAAATTCTCCCTTTTGTAAGGAGTTCAGTTGGATACACTGCTGAATTACATCAGACTTTTAAAGGTAAACTAACATCAATCTTTTTCAAGCTATCCATAAAATAGAAATGAAAGCTATCAAACTATTTTTACAAAGCTTTACCCTGACATCCAAACAAGATAAAAAAACAAGACAATAAAAGAAAATTATAGATTAAATTTCCAAATGAACATAGATACAAAAATTTGTCACATAATGTTTACAAGCTAAATTCAAACAAGAGAGCAGTTACCATCTTCAGAGCTGTGTTTTACATAGTTCTCAGGGAATGAAGAGAGCTCCTGAATCAGATGTCACAACTGCTTGGGTTGTTGTGAAACAACCTTGATTGACCTGTACAAACATTTACTCTTTCATGGGGACAGAAGGAAGGGAGGAAGAAAAGAGAAGGGAGCTCTTAGAGGAGAGAGAAAAGGAAAGGGTGGGAGGAAGAATGTAGATAGAGTACTCTATAGATAAGATGGATGGATGGTGAATCCATTGTTTGTTATAGTACAATCATTTTGGGCAAGATATTCAGTGTTTTAAGTTTTTGTTTCCTCCTTGAATTACTCTATTTTTCAGTTAGGGCATCTTTCCATGGACAGAAGGGTGTAGGATGGTGTGTGCACACTCAACTTTTCCAAATGTGTCGATGACATCAGTATACAGCTGTCATCTCAAAAAATAATTTACACTAATGCTGATGCCCATTTGAAACTAAAACAACAACAGCAACAAAGAACACATCAAAAAATTCATTAACTATGATTAAATTGACTTAAGTGTTACAGAGATGTTTCAATATATACAAATCAATAAATATATTGTATCACAAATGTAAACTCAGAGAGAGAAAACAAATGATCACTCAGTGAGCACAAGAAAGGCTTTTGACCGTGTCAAACAAACCTTCACAATAAATCACTGAGAAGACTATGAATAAAAAGAAGACTCTTCATTGTAAAAAAAAAAAGTATGCACATAAAAAAGCATCATTGAGAACTAAGTATTTAAATACTTGAAGCTATGGAGGAGGACATTTCTTTTCTAAACTGCCACACCAGGGATAAAGAAAATGTCACCCCCCCCCACACACACAGTGGGTGTTTTTTCAGCCATATAGAAGAACCAAGTTGATCAATTTTCAGGAAAAATAAATGTAACTGACGATTATCATATTAAGTGAATTAATCCAGTCTAAAAAAGATGGATAGCAGATGTTTTATCTCATATTCCGTTCCTGGATTTTTGTATCAATATGTAACATCCATCATCTATGTGTACATGACCTGGAAGTAGAGTTGAAAAGGTGTAGACGAGCAGAAGGGCTAATAGAAAGAGAAGGGAAAACAAAGAGGAGAATATGGAGGTTTGGAGTGACAAATGCTTAATGTGTGCCTTGTAGATGTGGTGTGAAATGTCCTCATTTACATGATGTTATGAATACACAAAATGAAATTCTAAAAATTTTAATAAAATTCAATGTGTACAAAGAAGTGTGACCAAAATACATTATATCCATACACAAAAAGCCACAACCAACCCATTATTCTGTACAATGAGTGATCAAAACCAAGAAAAGGAACAATAGGATTGTAACTGAACAATAATTGATACTGATTAGCTAGTTATCCTCCTTTTAAAACACGTATTTGAAAAATGTTAAAACCAGAGGGGCATCCACATCTGAAGACTGGAACATCACTAGAAGCTTGTTTTGTTTGCTGAAGCCTGTTTGCTGCTAAAGCTTAGGTATATCATGTGATGTCTCTTGATTTTTATATCATAGTTCAGGATGAAGGCTATTATTTTACATCACTACTTGCAATATGGCAAGTCCCAGAAACAAATTCCAGCATTAGTAAGCACAAACACAGAGGCTTCCCAGGTCCCTGTTTACCTCTGGGATTTGGTCTGTGGCTCCTACAGTTGTGCTATAACTAGATAATTAAGAGGGACCATTGGATGTCCAACTTGATTTTTATTGGCAAATTGGCATCTCTTTACCGTAGCATTACAGATAATTATCACTTTTTCATAATTTTTGTTTAATTTTTGAAAAGGGTGAAATATTTTCTAAGGAAGTGTACAGCACGGAGGAAGGAAATTCAGATTCTAATATGTTTCTTCTAGGAAAGCTCACAGTGAAAAAGTGTCTGTTAAGTTTCAAACCCTGAGAAAACAGCTGAGGTGTCTATTTAACGTATCAAAGCAGATCTGGCCACCAGGTTTTCAACAGCATCCTCAGCCCCTACCTGTTTCAGTGTGTGGATCACAGCATGCCCTGCCCTCTACCCTGACCGCTCCAGCCCAGGGGCTGGGCTGCCCTTCCCCGAGAGGTTGTTCCCCATGTAATCTGGACATTTTGGTTACCCACCCCTCTTGTACATTTGACCTCCTGGCTGCTGCACCTGGTTCCCCTCTCTCCCCTTGCTCTTCACCTTCCCCTCCACACATGGCTCAGCTCAGTCTGGTCATGTCCATTTTGGACTTGCCTAGATATCTCTGCCTCTGACTATGCTCTTTCATATATACACAATTCACTTTATCTTTATCTTTTGGGGGGAGGGTTCAAGACAGGGTTTCTCTGTATTGCTTTGGAGGTTGTCCTGGAACTCACAGAGATCTGCCCTCCTCTGCCTCCTGAGTGCTGGGATTAAATACACTTTATCTTCCAACATACCTAGTCATAGTAGTGGCCTTCCCTTCCCTTCCCTCCCCTCCCCTCTGCTCCCCTTCCCTCCTCTCCCCTTCCCTCCCCTTCCCTTCTCTTCACTTCTCCTTTCTTTCCTTTTCCTTCACTTCCCTTTTCTTTCCTTTTCCTTTTATTTCAGTTTTTCATCCAGTATTGGATCAAGACACCACAAGACCAAGCTTTCAACACAAAGGAGATTTACTTCCTCCAGATGGACAAAGGGTAGGTGTCAAAGAATATTTGATTTCACTGTGAAACTCTTGAGACTATGTTAATTAAATTAAGCTTGGATCATGGGTTGGAGCCAGTGACTAGTTGACAAGAATTAGCCATATGAATACAGAGGACCAGGGTACATGTATAGAGAGGCACAGGGAGGAGTATGGAGGAACTAAAAAATTTGTGGATTTTTGTTTTTGTTTTTTGTTCTGGGACTCACGGAGAGGGATAAGCTTGCTGGGTCTCTGGTAAAAAGGTCTCCTCTTGCACTTCCTTGTTCTACCAGGTTTTCTCCTCAATGTCTGAACAACTTACAAAGAAACAACATTTGGTATCCAGTGCATGGCATGAGATCATGTGGCAACTTCTGAAATTACCACTTCTCTTGCTGCTGCAGACACTCCTGAGGGCTTCTCCCACCACCACCCTCCCACACCCTTCCCAAGGATTCTGGGCTTCTCCTGCCATGGTTTTTCTGCATCTGTTCCCCAGGGCCCATGCTGCATACACTCCGCATCACACCTACTCATGCTACATACAGCACACACTCAGACTTTTGTAGCCATTACTCTTCTACATATAAACCCAGAATATTGAAATGTTTAATTTTTTTGCAGTGAACTAGGGCTATTCTTGACAGTGAACTTTGTGGTCTTTAAAAAGATGATGGGACCCTGCAATGACAAATTCAACGGGACTGTGATAACACCATTAAGCTTACAAACACTACCCAAAGATCAGCTTCAGACTATAAAGTGCTCAGAACAACTTCAAAGTGGCTAGCTAATATGGTCCAGCCTCATAGACTACTCCAGACAGGACTTCAGATAGGCTCCATACTTGCCCATCACAGGGAGATTGGATAACAAACGATACAACTAGCTCTCCCAGGCCTTGGACATATCCCAGTTTTCTCAAGGTTCCCTAAAGATGGCGTTATTTCAGAAAAAAGAAAATAATTTTAAGAACAGGATACCCACATACCCGAGAGGTGTGGTGCATGGTTTTTGGTGATTTGGTGGGTTATGGGTGTTTGTCATTGTTTAGTTTTAGTTGCAAGTTGTTATTGGTCAGGTTCAGGGAATAAAATAAAGAAGGCTAGATTAGGATTTCTTTCTTTTTCTTCTTTTTCATTCTTCTATCCTTTCTCTTCTAAATAATATTGCAAAACTGGGGATGGGGATGAAGATAAAGAAAAGGAGGGATATAGGAATTATAGGATAAAAGATATAGGATAATAGATTATTGATCTACTTTTAGACTGAAAAACAACTACTAGTCTCAAATATTTTATATTGGTATGGATTTTTGTATGTTGATACAAATTTAAGGTTT